CTAGAAAACCATGTGATCGGTAGCTCCAGTGGGACAGGTCAACCAGATGTTGGTAACACTTCACGTCAGTGTCCTGGGTGGTTACTAATGAGGCTCCTGCTGATGACACCACAGATCAGCTCATCTCAGATCAGTATTTCATATTTGAAGGTTTTACGGTACTGTACTTCAGTTTTGGATTCTTTTTTTTTAAATAAGTAAATTTGTCAGAATGATTACTATTTACAATTTACAAGGAGAATTATTGGGAAGTCACAGAAATATAAAAAACATTTATTGACTGGAGGTGAAGTCCCTTCTTTGTGTCTTAAGCTGCTGGTTGTCAGTCCAGGTCCTGGACCAGGAGAGTCAAAACATCTACGACTGGTGTCCCTGACGCCACGTTCCAGAGTTGCTGCTGGATTTAATGTCAACGTTTTCAAACAAACCCAACCTGAACACTGGGACTCACGGCCGTCACCGTGAGTCCCCCAGGACCCTCATGCTAATTCCTGTCCACCATGAGTACACACCTACGTAGTAGAGACAGTATATTTGAGTTGCCACAGAGGTGAAGTACTGCTGTGGTGAAGAAGAGGTACTGCACGCTGCTCTGGATTCAGATGAAGAAGATGAAGAGGCAGATTTCCTCATTTTTCCTTCGAGGCGCACACTCTTACATGAAGACACACAGTTCAATTGATTCATGTTTTGACTGGGATGATTCTCGTATGTGTGTGTGTGTGTGTGTGTGTGTCCACATGTGAACACACTGTTCTTCTCAGCATCATTTCTCTCTGTATATTTATCTGGGGGTGATAGTATCTGTGAACCTGTTCTACAGAATTCTCACTCTGCTTCTCTGCGGCTGCAAACACACACACACACACACACGTACACACACACACATGCGGGAACGAAGCAGCCCACCTCCACCCACCCTCACCTCCTTGTCACTGACACACACCCACCGATTGGCCGCCGCTGAAGCCAGGCATAAGTTGTTCCCTAGCAACAGAGCGCCAGTCAGCCAATGGGGGCCGTCGGCGAGGAAGGGGCGAGTTTTCCAATCTGCTGTTACTAAGGTGAACGGAGGAGCGCCGAGGTTCTCCAGCCACCGTGTGTATGTTCTCCACTTTTGAGAGAATCGTCTGCATTGTTACCGACAGAACCTGACGTTCTGATTCTAGTCGGGTTCTTGTTACCGACAGAACCTGACGTTCTGACGTTCTGGTTCTAGTCGGGTTAGGTTAGCTAAAAATAACAGTCATGGTTTCATTTAGTTCAGTTTATGTTGCAAAAACATGTGCAGTAGAACAGCGAGGCCTGTAGCGGTTAGCACGCCTGCCTTAAAAGCAGAGAGTCCTGGGTTCAATTTCCAGAGGAACCACATATCCCTGATGGCGCCTCCCGTGTGTCAACTTGTGAGTTGTGATTATGTACTTAATGGCGTTTCCTGTGTCAGTTGTATATAAGTTTGCAACTTTTACTCAGGTGCGACTTCTATATTAAAATTATTATTATTTTCACATTGACAGCCACTAGAGGGCACTCTAGGCCTGTGCACCAGTATCTTCTACTCCTGTACCACTGAAAATTCCTATGTTCGTGATTTTTACATTGGCGGCCGCTAGAGGGCACTGATGTGACTTACACTCCAGTGTGACTTACTGTCCGGAAAATACGGTAAGCATATGTTGCTAACATTTTAGCACATGCTGCTAGTTCAACCTCAATAGTGACGTCTGAATCCTCGATCTAACATCTTTTTTTTTTTAATTATTATTATATCATTGTATCAAACCAACACATATAAAGTAAATGTTTGTATTTTAGAAGTCTGGTTTTCAGCCTGGTTTCGTAATGTTATAAAACCACAGGAGCCAAAGCTCCATGTACTCAGTGTGTGTGGTTTTCACTCACTGCTGATTGTCTTGCTGGTTTCATTTGCTAATACTGCATTTGCATTATTATCCAGGATTAGCATGGATCAACGTCCACTAGAGCCAAGACGTAGCCCAAAAAAAAAAAAAGAAAAAAAAAAAAAACCCCAAACATCACAAAAGCTCTAATCCCCTCCAGGCAGCACAAAAACCATCCTTCTTTATTTCACAAGGTTAAATCTGGTCCCGTGTCGTCCCCACTGACGCTGGATTATCTTCATATGTGGGATAACACTGTTGATGATGGGATGTCTCTTCATGACAGTGGCCAACAAATCCTTTTAGTCAAATCAGTGCGTGGCAGTGACATGACAGATATGACAAACGCAGCGTGCTGCGGCGTCCGTCCACCGGGGACGACGGCGAGGAAACAAAGACACCACACAGTGGTAACAGCTTTGGTAGTGTTGAAAAACACAAAACGCATCTAAACCACTTGGGGTCCTCAGTGTGTAAATATTATTTCATGCACAGAGAGTCGTTACGATGATAAGTCAGACTTTTTCATTCACGGCCTGTAACTTTATTATGATTGGTTCGCTCTCATTGAGTCCAAAACACGGGCCGTCCTGTGGTTAAAGGCAGGATTATTGGATGCACTCGATCGACTGGTCCGTTCTAGGAGGTTTGAGTGGAACGGTTGTCGAGGTTGTGTTTTTTTAGCGATGGACGTCGTACATTTAACCGCGGCCACGAACGATTATCTGACATTCATTCATGAATCCTCGGCTGCTTTTTGTTAACAGCTCCTGGTCCAAAAAAACTGGGTCAACAATCTAACAGGTCAACTCCAGGTCCACACTCAAAGACAAAGACAAAGACAAACATTGACTGTAGACTCCCATGGTGATGCTAATTTTTTAAAACGTACAATCAAGAAAAATTGGTTTGTCAAAAATCAACAAATTAGACATTTAGGCAGACATTTGTACCGTTAACCACTAGTCCATCAACTAGCCTACAACCTACAACCTACAGCCTACAGCCTACAGCCTACAACCTACAGCCTACAACCTACAGCCTACAGGCTAAACCCCACAGCCTACAGCCTACAGCAGGGGTCTGTAGACCACCGTGTTCACCTACAGCCTACAGCCTACAGCAGAGGTCTGTGGACCATCGTGTTCGTAACAAAGACGTCGCTCTTCTTTTACTACGAGAGACTTGCAGCAGCCCTCAAGAAGGTCCTCGGACAATCACACCTCCTACAGGCCGTTCTTGGCCACAGCAGGTGGAGAACTCCTGACCTACAGCAGCTACAGCGTCTGTGTCATATACAACAACTGTGACCTCACACACACACACACACACACACACGTCTCTGCTGGTGTATTTGAGTTGTGTGGTTCTTACCGTGCCGCCTTTGCTCTGTGTCAGACTTTGGTCCTGCTGCTCTGGTGTGATGGGTGAGGACTTCAGAGGGGGCGAGAGGGTGAGGTCCCGACGGAGAGGCCGTGACTCCACCTTCTCCCCCGTTCTGTCAGGTTTGTGCGCTGAGTCTTTGCCTCCCTCCTTGCCTTCTCTCCCTTCGCGGTTCTTGTGTCTCTGTCTGGGCACGGTGTGTGAGCGTCCCTCTCCGTGAGTGTGACCGTGCCTTTCCTCCCCGTGCCCATGGGGCTTGTGGGTAGTGGAGTCTCTGGGCTGTAAAGGCTTCATCTCCATCTCATAGTTGCTAATTTTCTCCTCGTCCTGCTCCAACAGCCATCCTCCCTTGCTGTGCACGCCCCTGTGTCCAGACGTCCAGGAGGCAGAGGAGGACGACTCCATCCACCGCTCCCCTCGAGCCGCTCTGTGATTAGAGGAGCCGTGCTCCCGCGTTTTATGATTGGAGGAGCTGTGTTTGTGTCCATTGGTCCGAGTTGCTCCTCGTCCACCTCCTGCTTTTGATGGCATTCCTCTCTTTTTGTCCTCACTACAGCTGTTGGTCCTTGGGCACTCCCCTTTCCCCCCTCCGACCCCCCCACTGCCTTCAGCTCCTGAGTGACCTCCCTCCATCAACACCTGGATCTCCGTCTTCCCTCCTGCACCTCCTTTCTCACCCCGCTCTCCTCCTTCCTTCCCTTTGTCTCCGTGGTCCACAGCAGTCTGCCGGTGGAAGCGGGCGTTCTTGTTTCGCTGGGACGGTCGAGCAGGGGGAGGAGGGGTGTGAGGAGGTGAGGAAGACGGTGGGCTGAGGTCAGGGGTGGCCGCGTCGTTGGACGGGTCGTCGGACGCTCCGCTCTTCACGTAAAGGTCCGGACTGTCGGCCGTGCCGACGCTGCTGGACAAGCCCTCACCCTCCACCTCACTGGACATCTGACGTTTGGGCCGCTGCACCTCCACACCTAAACAGATAGGTGGGGACAAAGTTAAAACAGTAAAGGAGGACAGTAAAGACAGTGATGCCTTTATTGTCCTAGAAAAAAAAACCCGTTCCACAGTGTGATGAGAAATTCTGTACAGTTCTAGTCTGGTTTGTTGGAATCTTACCCTGCGCTGCCCCTACTGTCCAAACCAGACAATAATTCAACACCAAAAGTGAACTTTGTTGGACATTTAGTGACCAGTCTGAGGCACTGACCCAGGGTCAACACTAACACATGGTCATCATGAAAACGTCATGAGATAATATACAAAAAAATTAACATTTTTTTAAAAAAAGAAAATCCCCCTTAAATAGCTCTACATACAAAAAATAAAATAACTAAAAGTTTTAAAATGTGTGACGTGTTTTCATATCCAAAGAATATGCTCACAGGTGCCTTTCCTTTAAAAAACTCTTTTTTTTTTTGGAGTTTTGTGAACTGCTCTTCGTCCGCTGCACCACAGTCACAAAATAAAGTCAACATCTTCAGCTGACAAAGACACCGCAGGTGTTCGCCCTCAATGAAACCATAAAGTAACAAAAGTCAAAGTAAAGTGTTGGCGTCGCCCACAATAAAACCATAAAGTAACAAAATTTAAAGTAAAGTGTTGGCGGCAGACGGTGGACGGTGGACGGACGTCACCGTCTGACGCGCACTTTCTGTGGATCCTGGTTTAAAAAGCCGTCTAAGGGTTCAGAAATGTAACTTTGAATTTATCGCATTCCTAAGATTCAGTGACGTCGACCCAAAAATACAGAGTTTAAAATACAAAAAAATGGTGGCGAGGATTTCAACTGCTTCACCCCGCAGTGTACAAGCATGTGTGTGTGTGTGTGTGTGTGTGTGTCACCCACCAGTGTTTTACAAATCTGAGTGACAAAGGCAGAAACACAAAGCTGGAGGGTGGTTGGCACTGACCTTTACCACACACACACACACACACACACACACATTCTTGGGTATGTGTCATCTTAGCGTAAACATGTTCCACATACGTAGCCCCTACTGGCCACTTCATTAATTACACCTGTTCATCAGCTTCTAATCCGATCAGACACACGGCAGCTGCTCAACGCTGCCCCCATCAGCAACATATCCTCAATGAAACTGCTGGGTTTTTTTAATGTAGTAGCTGTTGAGGTTTATTTGTGTGATACACACATCTGTGTGTGTGTGTGTGTGTGTGTGTGTGTGTGTGTGGATGCTCACCATTCCCCGGGTGCTGGAAGGACGGGGAGAACTGTTTGGCGATGACTCTGGCCACACGACTCTCCTCCTGAGCCTTCTGAGCTGCTGCCACCGCTGCCTCTGATTTACCCTGTGCATGAGCCGTCCTGACACACACACACACACACACACACACACACACAGGAGACAAAGAAAAGAAGCTTTTAAGACAAATGTTCAGTTTACACAGAAAAGTGACAAACGGACAGAATCAAAAACCATTTTAAAGAGAAAGGATGAATTTAAAAAATAAAAAACGCTGCCACTGAAATGACCTGAGGAACAATAAAAACTGCTGACGTTGTTCAATTTTTTGCAGACAAAGCAGATTTTTTTTTCATCAAGATATTATTAATTTCCTTCTGTTAACTTGGTTAAAATTAGACAAAACTAAAATGTAAGACCTAGACTTTCACTTGTTTATTTAAATAATTTTTTTTGAAATTAAATTTAAAAAAAGAAAAGAAAAACAGCTCAATTTTACTCCAAAAACAACAACCAATCAACGAGCCAGAAACATCCAAGGCTAAAAGTCAAATTTAACTCAAATTTAGCAAAATTGCTTCAGTTGAAATTTGTCTGGAAATTTAGTAGAAGAAGAAGAAACGCAGCTGAAAACTGAAGAAAAAAATAAATAAATGATCTGGTTTTGATAAAAAGGAAAAGGTAGACAATGATTCTGACCCAAGGATGATCAGACGTGACATAGCATAGCATCACATCAGCTAAAAACAACCAATAAATGGACAATTGTTAGCATAGAAGACAGCGGCCGTGGGGGGGTCGTG